GGGGGTGGTACAGACTCTTGAACCATCTTTGAGGTACTCTCCCCACAGACGGCGCCAAATGTTTTGGGTGTTTTTGTCCCTTGGAAGAGTTACAACACGAAGCCTGATCCGCAGTGAGCTGTACCTGCAAAACAAACGGAGACACCGGTTGGGTGGTGCTCCGCCTCCAACGCACAAGTCAGTAACTTGAAACGGAATAGAGAGAACGGAAATTTAGGTGGTTATCTGCTCGGATTCCAAGCTTAGGTCTTTCTCTGATGTAAGAGAATAAGGGTGTAATTAATGATTCAATGTGTCCCCCAAAGTGGGGAAATATCTCCCTATTTATAGGGTCGTTGGAAAATGCGCCCCTACCTAGGTCACTTGACCTAGATTTTAGTGGGCTGCGCCGTTTTACGGCGCGCTTAGGAATCTGGGCCTTTGAAGGCCGCCATTTTGGAAACATATCTGAGGGCGCCAAGTGTCAAGAGGATGTTGAGCCACATGGGCCATCCTAAGCTCGACACGTGGCGACCTCTCATTGGTCCACGTGTCTAGGGTAAAAATACCCTAAACACACTCGTTCATCTGTTCCGATTACCTTCCTCGTTGCTAGGTCCTGTATAACACAAAGTTTATTAGTAAATTGCATTACACAATTTGATTCATCACATAATTGAGTCGCCGAAATTAAATTGCAATTCAATTGCGGTACATAAAGGACATTCTCAATAATCAAGCCCCCTTGCAATAGAACCGATCCAATTTTGGAAGCATTGGCATAATTCCCATCCGGCAATCCCATCGGATAATGGCTCACATTCGTCACATTTCTCAAAAGAGATAGATCACAAGTCACATGATTTGAGGCACCAGTGTCAATAATCCAACCCAAATCGTGCTTACCGGGAAGCTTGGGCTGAATAGAGTTTAAATAATCAAGAAGTTGTTGTATTTGAGCCGACGTGACCCCTACAAGAGCAGCCCCATCTACGGTGGTGACAGCCGAATCCCTAGCCATCACGCAACTGCACAATATTCTTCTAATTAAAAAAAAAAAAAAAAAAAAAAAAAAAAAAAAAAAAAAACTCACAATGCTACACACGATTCTTCACGCAAGAAAGATAATAAAATAGAAGTTGTGAACCCTCACAAATTCTCAAACAAATACGTGGAACTCAAATTCCCACAAATGTAAATTGTATACCCACTAACTTAATCACAACTCCCAATAATTATAAGTGTGAACTATAAAAAATTTGCACCCAAATATATGATCCCACAAGCAAATGAATGCCGCAAATAATCGTCACAATAGTTCCGATCCAAAAAAAAAAAAATTATCTCACACTCTCACGATTTCACGAAATTATGTAAATTACGTGTAATCAAGTTGTTAAGAAAAAAAATTGGATCAAACCTAAGCTCTTGATACCATGACAAAGTGTAATGAATAATTCTCTGTGCAATTCTCATTCATCACAATGGCCACATACAATATATTTATCAGTTAGGTATACTTGGAGGGCAAGACCAAAATAACCTAAAATAACTCACAATATTCTCTAGAATATATTCTATCAATATTCACAATTATCTTATTTCCTAAAATATATCCCAATAATGTTGAATATTTTGAGTTTCCATTAGTTTCACTCTCATAAACACTAGCTGAATTAAGTTTTGAAGAGGGTTTCTCGAAACAACCCCCAAGGGCAGTGACGTGCAGGTACCTTGTACAAGAATTGAGATAGTTGGTGATGATAGTGTTGTGATAATTGGGTTCATAATATTGTGATTACTAGATGAAAACCCGTGCGATGCACGGTTTATCATATATAAATCTCAAGAAAAGCTAAATATTTTTCGTATTTGATTTATTTTACTATTTAATAATTTTAGAAAAGAAAAACACATAATAATTTAATTAAAGTTTATTTGTTTTTGTTAGTTATATGAAACTTGAATTTAAAAATATGAATAAATTGCAAATATGATATCTTTCAAAAAAAAAAAAAAAAAAATTGTAAGTATGATATTTTATCGGTTACATATTAGGATAAAATTTTTAATGTGAAAATATTTTTTTTTTTACATATTTAAATCCTAAATCATTATTGGTTGCTTTTTAAAAATAGAAATATTTTTTAAAAAATAATAATAAGTAAAACATGTTTACAATTTATCTTCTAAGCTATTTCTTCATTCACACCCATATCACTTCCATCAAATAAAACTGGATAAACAAAACATGTTAGCAAAAATAAAATTTTCAAATCAAATCTACCCATATCACTTCCATCAAATAAAACTGGATAAACAAAACATGTTAGCAAATATAAATTTTTCAAATCAAATCTACCCATATCACTTCCATCAAATAAAACTGGATAAACAAAACATGTTAGCAAAAATAAAAATTTCAAAATCAAATCTATGGATTGAAAATTTTTAATCGTCCCCAATTGCCGCTTCTTATTTGTAACGATTGAAATATATTAATGGAGTAAACTTTTCTTTCAATTAATTTTTAACGAAATTGTACAAAGTTGGCTTTAGGCATGAATGTAATCAGCCTGTAATTAAAAATAAAATTAAGTTAATTTAATAACTTGATTAAGCTACCTAAATCACAAAAAATTGTTTTAATCATAAATTAATTAATAAAAACTAAAAAGGTTTATAAAAAATTTAATAAATGTAGACGATTTATAAATATATAATACATCCTTGTACTTTTATTTTTCAATCATTTTTGCTTGAATTTAATTCTCTGATTAAATTAAATCTACATGTAAAAACAAAATTTAGTAAATAAGATATAAACATATAATCATTAAACAGTCCAAATAAACACAATGTAAGCAATAATCACAAATATACATTGAAACATGAATTTTTAAAATTAAACTAAGAATTACGCAGCCACTGATGACCTAAAACTGACACAAAATTTGCTTGATTTGGTTTTGTATTGATATAAAATTTTATTCGGGTTGTAGGATGTGTCAATTTATACTGGTAGATATCAAAAATTTTAATTTCATTATTATTAAGGAATAATTTTTATTTCTTATCATAAACACTATCAAGATTATCTTAAGATTATAAATCCTACATCTAAAGATGATTTTTTTTATTTTAAAAATGATAATCTTTAGTTTTTAAATAAATTAAATGCTTATGAATCACTATTCGTTGTTACCTACATGACAAAATCTTTAAATCTCATTTGTCACTTTTGTTTAGGTGGCAAGTGCATTTTTTAATTCTAAAATAAAATAGAAATCTAATTTTTAATTGGTAAAAAATATACCCTTGCTTATGTGGCGCGCCAAATGCTCTCCAAAAATGCTTACTTTATTTATATATACTAGTTATAAGCCCGTGCGATGCACGATTCAAGTAGATCTTTTTAATTAATTTAAGACTTTTTTATATGAAGATCATTCATCGGATACTGGAATAAAATTTCTAATATCATAAGATAATTTTTTTAAAATTTTAACACTAAAGTTATCTTTCGTAGGTTTATTTATTTTACGTGGCGCTTGAATTTAAAATTCCAAACCTTATTATTTAATTTTTCTTAATAAAAAATAAACGACATATCATTTTATTTATTGATTAAAATAAGTCCTTTGCAAATCATTTTTAATATCTAATCTAATATATATATATAAAGGGGAGTTTTTCCCCGAGTTTTTAGAGAGCCACGTAGGATTTATTTTTCATAGGGTGCCATGTAAGATTATGAATTTAAGTTGTAGCCAATTAAATAAGAGATTATTAATTTATTTTACAATTAAATAATTCAAATGTCACGTTAGCAAAATTGATGAATGAAATTTTAAAGTTTAGGGTTCATTTGGCATTGTTGTGGTTTTCTGTTTTTTGGTTTTTTATTCTCTAAAAGTATATGATATGAGTCCCATAATGAATCAAAAAATTTATAAACTTATTAAAATTATGATAATTATGAAAACTGACAACAGAAAAGTGAAAACTCCTTTTTCTTGTTTTCTGTTTTTGGTTTTCAAAAAAACAGGAAACTGAAAACCAAAACTGATGCCAAACAAGCCCTTAAATTAATTAAATACAAAATATTATCTTTTAAGATTAGAAATTTTATCTAATATTTTAAAGCTAATATAATACGTAGTAACAAAATCACATAAATATGAAAAATATTTTTTTAAAAAAATACTAACAAACCGTGCATCGCACGGGCTTCATCTAGTTTTTATAATATTTGCTAGGGAGAGATATTTACGATCAAAGATTTCATCCATATATGTAAAAATGATAATTATTAGTTTTTTAAATAATTTACATTTTAATTGTTCACTATTCGTTATTTTTACCTAGGTGACAAAATTTTTAAATCTTATTCGTCACTTTTTCTTAGGTGGTGAGTGAATTTTTTAATTCTAAAATAAATTATTAATCTAAAATTTCATTGGTCAAAATAATACCTTTTCTTATGTGGCGCGTCAAATGCTCCCGAAAAATGCCTACTTTATTTATATATATTAGATTAGATTATTATTATTATTATTATTATTATTTATTGACAAGATTGTGATTAATATTATTACGAGATAATTAATTGTTGTATAGCTAGCTAGGCTTTCACTATTGTGTATTAAGTTAACTATTGTTTAAATTTTTGTAAGATCTAGCGTTTGAAAATGTTAACACGAGTATGTTTTTTAACTCACAGATTGTATTTCTTCAGATGAAGTTTTTTTTATTAAGGCTATTGTTAATCAAATCTACGATGTATTTAGTTTTAAAGTGTGTACTTATGTTGGAATTCTTGATTTTTTAGGAATTATATGTAATTACCGTTTGGCTAAATTTTATTAATGAAAATCCCTTTTCTTCTTGTAAAAAAAACAAGAGTTCTATACTATTGTATAATGAAAACCTTGTAAAATAATGAATAAAATATTAGGGAGTATGTCGTTATCTAAGGAAATGTGAGTTCATTCCCATATATAAATTTACATTTCCTTGGATAATGAAGTAATATTTTCTATTATCCTACATGTATGTATTGTACATTATTATTTCCTTCAAGAAAAGCAGATTAACAATGTAATTTGAACCAATAATGCAACAACTAACTTCAAACCGAGTACAAATTTAAAAACCAAAAGCAAAGAAAATACAATAGAATTACATATATATATATTAACCTTGTGATTTGTGAATCCAGCCTTAAAACATCAGAGCGGTTAATACCATCAACACTAACAGGTTGAGTTTACTTAAAGATTCCTCTGTCAAAGCAAATGTACAGCAGCCATACGAACAAGTGTTAAATCCCACCACCATTATCATCACTGCTAGTCTCGCCAAACAACCTCATTAGGGCTGCTTCTTCTGCAATCAACTAAATAAACACCGTCTTTAACAATCGTATGAATGCCAAACTAAAGACTGAGGTGCAAAAATGCACGCATGCAGCTGCTACTAGTATATTTCTGACCCATAGATTACCCTTGCATTGGCTGATGCTCTTGGAAAGCTACATAATCGCTTCACAAACTTAAGCTCCTCAATTGCTACCAATTCATAAGTACTGGGTAAAATTACCATCTTTTCCAAGGTGACACAGCTTTTAAGCAAACATTCAGCTAGTCGAAGCTGACTCTGACAAGCTACCCTGTAGCCACGTATGGTGACAGTTTTGAGTAGAGGAAGCACACAAGGGGAAGACATCGAGAGCTCTTCAGAGAGCATACCCTGTACATCATTGGGTGAAAGGACTAACTATTACATGAAAGTTAGGACAATAATAGATTTCATGTAAACAAGAAGGACAAAATAAACCTACCAAGGCTTGCTTCATGTTTTCCTGTGAATTTGAGAACACTATGAGTTTTTCCAAGTGAGGTGAACTTCTCAAGACTCTAAAAATACCTATGAGCTGATATTCATTAAGCTGTGACAACTCAATATGTAAACAATTCCATCTGGTTTGTGGAATATTTACCTCTTCGAAGATTGATTGCTGAATGAGAATGACAGGTAGGTCATCAATAATCTAATTTTTTACTTTCTCATGAAGTTTCTCCAATAATTGTATGATAAATTAAATAACAAGCACCAGAATGTGATCAGAATAAACCACCATAGTCGTGTTAACTACCAAAACGAAAATAAATAAAAAGGAAAATCCTTGACTTGTGCAAGGAATCGATAATTCGATATTTAGGGGAAGGGTATGTTAGTCATAGTCTATTAGTAGTAACTTGGGAATAAGCTAGAGGTTTGTTAGGAGGGATTTTCTACAAAAAGGTCTCATTAAAAGAAAAGAGGACATGTTGAATATTGTATGGTTTGTCATTGGGAGAGAGTGAGCCTCTCGAAAGCTCATACTTAGGAGAGAATCCACCTTTCGAAAGTGAAATCATCATTTGATTTACTGAAATTCTCATGTTATTAATATAATTATCATTTTCTTCTTAATTTCTGCCATTTTTAGTACTATAAGCCATGCCAGTTCCTAGCAACTTGATCTTTAAACTCCATATTGGATTTTAGAATTAACCATTGCAAGTTAACTAATTATCTAAGCCCATGAATATTGCTCTGTGATTTGAATTCATCTGAGATATACAAGATTAAAATTGACTTAATATCAGTGCTGTAAATCTGTGGTTAATAAGTAGTTGAAGGCAAGTTTTGTAAAATGCCATTAAAGATTGACTTAGTACACAAAACTCAATTATTTGAGAGACAATGAACATAATTCAATTTTAATCAACTAACATCAAGACAACACCCTACATGACTACAATATTGAAATTTTTTTGCCAAAATGAGATTAAACAGTATAAAATATCAACCAAAAGTGTAATGCTCTGATGGAAACAGGGAAACTCACCTGAAAAGCATCCTCTGAAAATTTGACAACCTCAACTTTACAAATCTTGTTCAAAATATAATCATACTCGTCTATAGATTGGAGATGAACTTCATGAACAGATGGAATATTAACCCCTCGAAGATATGATGACTCCTCTCTACAACTGAGATGAATATTTAGAATTTTCAAGTTGGGGCAATCAATCTCAAATAAGCCAAAGGAACTAATATCTAACTTTTCAATGTTTCGAGCAGTAAATCGCACTTCATTCACCTCATCTACATACAACATAACCAACTCTTGTAAAGAAGGGCATCCAGATATTATTTTCTCAAACATCTTATTACACATCATAATAGAGGAAAGTGATAATTTTCTTAGCGATACCAATTTGGACTCTACTTAGCAACTCAATTCTACAGTTATGAAGTTTCAGCTCAACAAGAAACTGACTTGTGAAAACACAGCGAGGCAAAATATAAACATCATAAGTATCCGTTTCAAACTGAACTTGTAATTCCTTGACTTCTCTACCTATGGCAAATCTTATCCATAACTTTATATCTGTGACTAATGATTCATCACACACATATATATCGTAAAAATGAAGCAGGAAACTATTGATGGGGATCCCTTTGTGAAGCATTAGCACATTGCGCACGAAACTAGTAAAACAAGGGATTTGCTCCTTGGGAACTATTGCACTACTAGGCCAATTTTCTGCTTTAAAAACTTCAGAGTCTTTAATATCAAGGGAGGATACCAAAGTCCAAAGATTACCAAATCTGCGAATCGACATGGTTCTAACAGCATCTAAAATGGGCAGAAATGAAAGAATGTGCACCAGAATATCATCAGGCAATTCACTCAACCTGTCTCTTGCATCATTTCTCATAGAAGTTTTATTCTCATTTGAAGTAGATTCCATGTCTTTTTGAGCCATTGAGGCCATAATCTATCAGAGAAACAAAATTGAAAGGTTTAATTCATAGAGTAATATTAAGCAAGCATAAAATTAGCGGTATAATTGAACTGAACAACAAAATAAGAACTTAAGAAGCTTAATTCAGACAGTACATACATTAAACATAAATTTAGGCCAAAATTAGTGGTATAATTGAATAGAATTACAAAATTGAAAAGCTTAATTATGAGGGTGTATAAATCAAACCTAGAATTAAGTTAAAATTAGTGATATAATTGAATAGCACGAGTATAACAAAATTAAAAACCTTTTTTTTAAGAACTTCTCATAATTAATCTGAATTTATAATATCTGCAAGAAATCAAAATAATTCGAACATAGCAAAGGCTTATCGGCACAATTGTTTAGGATAACATAATTGAAAAGCTAAATTCAGACAAATTTACATGAAAACTATAATTAAGTCAAAATTAGGGAACAAATTGAAAAGAATATCTAATTTGAGAATGGTGAAAAGAAAACATACCAGATTAAAAGAGAAGGATTCGACGGCAAACCGGCAAACTTTATAACTTGAAATTCTTCATAAAAAAAAAAAAAAAAAAAAAAAAAAAAAAAAAAAAAAAAACAAGGATTTCAGTAGAGCAGGAGCAAGGAAAGGAGTGACAAATATATATATTAAATTAGAGCTGTAAAAAATTGACCCGACCCGAGAACCCGACCTGAACCGATAATGATCTGAACCTGACCTGTACCCGAACAATAGGGTGAAACTAGTGACCTGTAACCTGACCTGAACCAACCTGATGTTGACCGACAACTGATTTGATTCAATATTTTATGACCTGAATCCAAACCCGCACCCGAACCGATAGTAACCGTCAACCGATTTAATTCGACCCGACAACAATCCGAACCCGAACTAGTACCTGACCCTATTAGAACCTGAAAACGTTTATAACCCAACACAACATGTAATCGAAGCGAGTCATGGATGGTTTAATAAATTTTACATACCTTTTATTCTTTATTACTTCATATATATAGGTGTAATAAAATCTTGATAATGGTTGAACAAATTATGCAAAGTGTAATTAAATAAATTAACTTGACCACATTGATCGAATTTATTCGAATTGAACTTGAACCAAAACCAAGAATGATCCAACTTTAAGATTATCCAACCAAATAATTATCTGACCCAACCTTAATTATCCCGAACCCGAATGTACCATCTATTAACCCGATCAAACCCGACTCAATACTACTTGAAGTTGAACCCGTTATGAATTTGACTCGAATCGGACCTGACCTACACCCGAAAGGATGAACGACCCGGAATAACTTAAACCGAAATTGACCCGACCGAAACCTGAACCTGATCTTAGGCTAGATTGACCCGACACAACCTGATCTTGATTTGACCCGAGACCTGATTTGACCCGACTTGAACCCGACTTGAATACCTGAATTTACAGCTCTATATTAAATTACTGAATTTGCCCCATTTGACTTCATTTCTATAATATTACTACGGATTAAAAAACTTACTACGTAATATTAATAAGATATAAAATGAGACGAATCTAACTAGGTCTCATATGACTACATTATCTCTGGTTGATTAATGAGAACATATGGTCAAAGATTTTAAAGTTTGACACATTTATTTGCAATGGGTTATCCGCTCATGATTATCACCCAAATTACAAATTAAGTGGATATAATAAAAATACTATGTAAATAGTTTCGCACTTGCTGATCTTAAGGCCTATTCACATTTACTTAAGTTCAGTTCAGTTTAGTTCAGCTCCAATCAGTTCAGTTCAGTTCAGTTCCGTTCCATTCAGTTCCTAATTTCCTTTTCTCATAAAATATTCATTTCAGTTCAGTTTAGCTCTAATCAGTTCAGTTCAATTCCAATCAGTTTAGTTCAACTCAGTAAATGTGAACAGACCCTTAGTCTTGAAATGTCGAGTGTATAAGTATTTTTGTTGATTTATTTACAATTTTATCTAATAAATGGGGCAATCTCGTGACCAGACAAATTTGAATAAAACAAGGGCTTGCGGCAACTGAACAGAATAACAAAATTGAAAAGCATAGTATAGAGAATTTTCACATTATAGCCCATTTATAGGGAAGAACTTGTAAAGAATAATATCAAAATTGAGAATGGAGAAATGAAAATTAACCTATTTAAAAGAGAAGGGATTTGAAGGCAAAGAACAGTAGAAATTCTTCAGAAAGACATGATATTTGGATTTGTTGCAATAACCAAGTGAAGGATTACAAGCGAGTTACAGTTGGTTGAAGTAGAACACTAGAACAGGAGAGAAAGGAGCGACAAATGAATATTGGATCACTAATTTTTATAAACAAAAATCTGATTAGATTATTTTCGGATTAGTGGATCCACCATTGAATTTGATGTAGTACGTAGTGCTATAAATCATCATAATTAAGTTTATTGCCTTACAATAAGTCCACCATTTTTGTACAACCCAAAGCTGTAAACTACATCATAGGATATTAGGATCACTGCTCTGATCCCTGAAGGTATGTACCATCAATGTGTTATGAGTATTACTAAAGCGAAATATATAGAAACTCACACACAAATGTAATAGATTATGCATAAAGTAGAGGAGATCTATCAAAAGACTTCGTAATTCACCTCATTGAAAGTATGTATCAGCTATACATATATATAATGTGTAATACAATCTTACACATAATTCATCAGATGTCTCAAATCCAACCACCATTATCTAGCCACACAAAGCACTTCCGTACAGCCGCATTGTCCCAGCCTCCATCTTTGATATGAATGCCAAAATAAAGACTGAGGTGCAAAGGTACAGCTGTTACTAGTATAATTCTGAGTATTCTGACCGACAGATTACCCTAGCATTGGCTGAGGCCCCTTGGAAAGCTTAATAATTGTTTCACAAACTTAAGCTCCTCAACTGCGACCAATTCATATGTACTGGGTGATATTACCATCCTTTCCAAGTTGACACAACTTTTAAGCAAAAATTCTGCTAGTCGAAGCAGACCCTGACACGGTACCTTGAGCCCACAAATGGTGACACTGATAGTTTTGAGTTGTGGCAACACACAAGGGGAAGAGAGCTCTTCGGAGAGCATGTGGTGGTCACGTGCCTCACCCTGAGCATCATTGGATAAAAAGACTATTACATGAAAGTCAGGCCAATAATAGATTTTAAGTAAACATGAAGCACAAAATACACCTACCAAATCTCGACACAAGTTCTGCCATGAATATGAGCATACTATTAGTTCTTCTAAGTGAGGTGAACTTCTCAAGACTCTACAAATACCTATGAGCTGATCTTCATTAAGCCGTAACTTGAAATGTAAACGCTTCCATCTAGTTTGTGGCATATCTAACTCCTTGAAATTTGATTGCTGTATAAGAGGTAAGTCATAAGAAAATTCAACTTTCTACTTTCTCATACAAATTCTCCAATGATTGATTATTGTAAGATAATTTTAGTACACCAATATATGATCAAACATTCAACAAGCACCTCAATCATATTAATCATTAAAAAGAAAAAGAAAAAACAAAACAGATGAATCACCGAAACAGGAACCAAAAACGGTATCACTCAAACTCACCGAAAAAGCTCCAGCAGAAACTTTAACCACCTCAGCTTTACAAATCTTGTCTACAATCTTATCAAAGTGCCAACAAGATTGGATATGAACCTCGCGAACAGATGAAATGTTAACTTCTTGAAGACTTGGCTCTGTGCTAAAGCTGAGATAAATATTCAGAATTTTCAAGTTGGGACAATCAAGCACTCTTACATCACAGGAACCAAGATCTAACTTTTTAATGTTCGGAGCAGTAAATTGTAGCTCCTCCAATTCATCTACATACATCAGAACCAACTCTTGTAAACAAGGGCATCCGAATATGACTTTCTTGAACATTTCATTACTCACCTTAACATAGTTAAGTGATAATTTTCTTAGTGATCCCATTTGGACTCTACTTAGCCCTTCAATGTCACAGCGAACAAGTTTCAGCTTAACAAGAAAAGGACTTTTGAAGACACAGCGAGGCAAAATGTAATCATTAGAATCATAATCAAATTGAATATTCAATTCCTTGACTTGTCTTTTGATTGCAAAACTTACCCATGATTTGATTTCCTTATCATCATCACCCACATCTATATCGTAGAAATGAAGCAGGAATTTATTAACAGGGAACCTTTTGTGAAGCTTTAGCACATTGCGCACAAATCTACCAAAGCGAAGACCTTGCTCATCAGACTCTATTGCACCATTAGGCCAATTTTCGGGTTTTAAAAATTCAGAGTCTCTAAAATTAAGGGAGGATACCAAAGTCCAAAGATTACCAAATCTTCGGATCAATACGGTTCTAACAGCATCTAAAATTGGCAGAAATGAAAGAATGTGCACCAATATATCATCAGGTAATTCACTTAATCTGTCTCTTGCATTGTTTTTCATCATAGAAGCTTTTTTATCATTTGAAGTTGATCCCATGTTTTTTTGAGCCTGTCAAAATTAGTTGTATGATTGAACACAATAACAGAATTGAAAAGCTTAATTAAGAAAGTATTTACATCAAACAATAAACTAATAAGTCAAAAGTAGTGGTATAATTGAATGTATCAAGAACATGAAAAGCTTAATTCGAAAGCATCGAACATACAATTAGGTCAAAATTAGTGGTATGATTGAATAGAATAAAAAAAAATTAAAACGCTTAATTAATAGAGTTTTTACATCAAACAATAAATTAAGTCAAAATCAGTGGTATAATAATTGATAGTATTTCGTATAACAAAATTTTGTAACTGAATTTGTATGAACTAATCATACATTCATACGTAGTAGCTAAATTGAAATTATATTGTCAGAAATAAGTTATAATATTCGAACAAAATAAGGATTTAGCGGTACAACTGAACAGAATAAGATAATTGAAAAGCATAATACAGAGATTTTTTACATCGGAAAAGAATTAGGTCAAAATTGGGGAAGAATTTGTAAAGAATAATATCAAAATTGAGAATGGAATATAGAAAAATTAAAATACCTAATTTAAAAGAGAAGGGAATTGAGGGCAAGATTTAGCAGTAGAAATTATTCAGAAAGGCATGAAATTTGGATATGTTGCAAAATTAACCAAGTGAAGGAATTACAGGCGAATTGGTTGAAGCGGATCACTTGTATAGTTTTCTCCACCCTTCTATGCTCCATTTGACTATTTTAAGTTTTAGTTCGTCCTTGACTTTGTTCTAGACCGCCTACAATGGCCCGTTTATTAAGCGATCATGGGTCGTGTAACAAAATTGTCAATTTCTAAAGAAGTTAACTGAGAGGGAACCTAAATCTAATCCGACCCAAACTCAACCCAATTTGTCCCATTTATTGTTTTTTTTAAAAAAATTATAATTGATATTATCTCATCGGGATAGTTAGGGCCTCTTCTGATTTATTGAACTAAGTTGAAGTGAATATTTTATGAGAGAAGGAAATTAAAAACTGAACTGAACTAGTTAAAGAGAACAAGCCCTTATTTAGTGCAACCTAAAATATAATCAAACTCGAACTTGACCCATGTGCACAGTGGTGCACGTGCATCACCAGCCAAAAAAAAAAAATGGTTATTTATATATAACCAATCTCTCTCTTTGATATTGTTACTTGTTGGAAATGGTAATGCAAACGGATTCTCGCGCCCGATCGGGCGATGGTTCGCCTGACCGGGCGGAGTTGGCTAAGGAAAATAGGAGGGCTCTCGCGCCCGATCAGGCGGCTTTCGCTCGACCGGACGACGGAGTTGAGTTTTGACGAGCCTGATCGAGCGACTCTCGCCCGATTGCTCACCCGAGGTGGGTTTTCTAGATCGCCCGATCGGGCGCGACGCCAGGTCTGGAAAACTTCATCTTGCCCCCGATCGGGCCCGCCTTTTTCCTTGGTCGGTTTATTTTATTTGTCTCCTAATTTCAGGACACATATAAATATGAGCATTGCCTTTCATGTTTTCATCATTCATATTAAAAACCTAAAATACGAACCTACCCTTTGAGATCTGAACAGTTCTTGAGCAATTCCACTCTTCGGGTTCGGGTGCACGAATTATGAAGAGAGTTGCGTTAAACTTGGGGGGCGTGCGTCACTAGGAAACTTGTACCGGTGGTGGCGTATTTCGCTTTTAAGGCAGTGGATTATTGTTCCACGGCGCGACTGTGAGTAAAAGATTTTCAATCAAGTATTTTTCCTTTCATCTTCTCTATTTTGTTATTGGAATCAACAGGTATATTACCAACATTACTAAGCAATATCAAAGAGATAGGTTATCTATAATAACCGGTGCCGTCTTTGATTGTTTATTAATAACCGGTCTTAAGTTATCGCCTTTTTAATAATTTTACTTATTTTTTTTTCTTCTATTTATATATTTATATGCGTGCAACCAATTTTTAATTTTTTTCCCCTGAAACTTCTCAATAAAGTGAAAAAATAAATCATAAAGTTAATGTAATAGATTAATGGTACCATATGCTTGTAATATGTTACTTGTATTACTTTCGGCTTTTAAAATGTTTTTTTTAACATGTAACTATGTAAGATGGAACTTTACTTACTATTTGGTTGTAGTATAGATTTTTATGGCCTATCTTTAAATTGAAATTGATTTGGCTATAATATATATAATTTTGGGATTTAAATTAATTATGAACTAGATTCGGGAAAAAAAAAAATTGCTTACTCAATTTTTTGTAAAACTCAATTTGTTAAAAATTGATATAATATGTAAAATTCAGTAATTTACAATAATTTTTTTTTTGAGTTAGTTTATTTATTTATCCTCATTCCTCGATATTTATTTATTTCTTGCATATGGTTAGTTAGCTTTGGCACATGTGTCAGTTACAAAGCACTTCTGAATTTCAACCCAGATAACAATATTTCTTAAATGAATGAGTATAAATCATAAGTAACAATGTTTAATAACATCCGATTTACACTAAATTAGTGTAAATCGGCTCTCTAAACATAAACAATTTTGTTTCGATCTTGATTCACACGTGCCAAGCTTCATTGCCTACAAATAAAAACCAATATTTTCTCTCTCTCTCTCTTTCTCATTCATTCAGAAAGTTCTTTCTCTCTCTTCTTTCTTCCTCAATTGGCAATTCTATCTCCATTCAACCTGGTTTATGTTTCTTCAACAACGATTATCTCTCTTCTCTTTCACTTATGAAGTTGTTATTTGCAAATTTAAGTTTGTTTACTTAATTTTATGAGATTTTTGTTTGTTTTAGTTGTTTTGATTCTTCGATTTTTAGGTTTTTTTATTTTGTTTTTGTTCTTTGTTTTTTATTTGATTCTACAATGGTGAAGAAGAAGAGTACAAAGAAGTCGTCAGAAGATGAAGGTGTGTTTTATTAATTTTTTTATGATTTTTTCAAAATGTTGATTATGTTAATGCAATTGAAAAAAGGCTGCAATTGCAAAGAAAAAGAAGAAAAAGAAAGATGCTGAGGAAAGAAGAAACGTTGCAAAGGAAGCAGAAGAAGAAAAAAAGGGTAACTTTTATGCATGAAAAGGGTACCTTCCATGGGTAAAAGGGTAACTTTTATGTATAAAAAGGGTACCTTTTGTGGGTAGAAAAGGTAACTTTTATGCACGAAAAGGGTAACTTTTGTGGGTAAAAAGGGTAACTTTTATAGATAAAAGGGTAACTTTTATACATAAAAAGGGGTAACTTTTGTGGGTAAAAAGGGTAACTTTTATAGATAAAAAGGGTAACTTTTGTGGGTAAAAAGGGTAACTTTTGTGGGTAGAAAAGGTAACTTTTATGCACGAAAAGGTTAACTTTTGTGGGTAAAAAGGGTAACTTTTATAGATAAAAGGTAACTTTTATACATAAAAAGGGTAACTTTTGTGGGTAAAAAGGGTAACTTTTATAGATAAAAAGGGTAACTTTTATAGATAAAAAGGGTAACTTTTGTGGGTAAAAAGGGTAATTTTTATACATAAAAATGAAAATTTGATTTTAAAATGGAAAAAAATACCTGATTTTTCGACTGATACTTCACTCGTTCTCTAAATCCAAAGTTATGAAGGCTCGGAAATTTGATCTGAATATCAATTAGAAACCTAAATCAGAAAAATTTGAGAGCGAAATATCACAATTTAAGAATGTAGCACAAAAAAAAAAAGAACAATTTAAAAATGTTAGGGTTCGAAATTTGATAAAACGAAAAAAATCAATTGCAGACTGAGAAATATAGATCAAAGGAAGCAAAACTCTACGAGAGATCATCCTAACAACAACCTTATTGTAATTTGAGGTTGAATGTGGTCGTAAATTTGGCAGTTTGTTGGAAGAGAGAGAGGAGAGAGAATAATACAGAGTATTGGGGATAATGAATTTATTAGTGGCAAGCGTGTGAGAATTGCTGATGTACAATAAATTACTGTACACCCGGGGCACACAAAAGGTTTTGAATCATAAGTCTGCAAATGTTAGTGTCTAGTTCTACTTCGTAATGTATAAATTTGGTAAAAAAATCAAACATAATGATGATCCAATCAGAGCACCATCAAATAAGTATCAAAGAAAATTGCCAAAAATAAAATAAAAAAGAATAGTTTCATCTATCCACTGTCTAGCTATATATCCACTGTTATCTTTATTTCTAATTACATATTACTCCGTATGATAGGAAGTCCTGCACCAGAAGATGCAACTCTGTTGTGAATTCTGAAATTCTGCGAAAGGCAATTGAAGCGTGAGATTTCTGGAAAGAAAGATTTCTTACAAAAGCAAAAGTATGAATGAACAAAGCAAATAAGAGAACCTTGAATTTGGCTGGAAACCCCAGCTTCTGAATAATTCGAACATACTGTAAGAGAGAATAACACATGAGATACAGTAATCGAACATCAAGAAAATGAAATAGTCAAGTAGCACGAAAATGGAACAACTTTTTTTTTTTTTTTTTTTTTTGAAGCAAAAATGGAACAACCTTGTTTCAAACAAAAATAAAATAGAACAACCTCTCATCTGCACAACAGAACAATGACTACTTACCTTAAGAGCAGCTAGTTTGGAGTCCTTCTCGCTCTTAGCTCCAGTGCAAATCTAGATTGGCAGATAATCATCAGTGAACGAACACACATTGAATAAAAAAAACACTCAAAGACGACCCTTTTACAAAATTTCTAATAATCAATGTTTGGGTCCAATTTATCTAATTGGGCCTAGTCATTAAATGATTCAATGCTCCAAGGTCAAGACCCAAGCCTCCAATCAAGCCAAGTCAACTATGTGTCAATTGGTCCAAATTGTCATGGTCAGCCCATGACTCAATCCGGCCCAGTCATTCTCCTCCTTTTGTCATGCCAAGGTATAAAAGCCTTCAATTCATTCATTCATGATATACACACAAAAGCCTCAAGCACTAAATCTCTTGCATAGCTTTCTCTCTAAATACACTGTTTGACTTCGGCATCGAGGGGTCTTCCTCGGATCCACCCCCGAGGCCAGTTTACGTGTGTTTTGCTGTGCAGGAAACCTTCGGCCCAACATCTATTGGACCGGACAAGTCTTCATCCACTTCACTGGACCTTCGGCAAGGTCCCATTGTTTTCATCCGAAACAATTTGGCGCCGTCTGTGGGGAAGACTTTCAAAAAATCTTTAAGCCAATCAAAATCATCTTGCAATCATCTTAGTAGCAATGGCTAAGAACCGCAAGAACAAAAGTCTACGTCAAGGAGTAGGCGAAAGGCCTAAAACTCATACACCATCACCTTCGCCGAACAGGAACTCTTCGAAGGGTGCCAGTTCGGGGGGAGGATCATACCGGGAGGATTCCCTTTCTCCCGTAATTCACAATTCTCACCATAGACCGAGTCCCCCTCGGTCTAACAAAAGTCGGTCCGATCATAGGACTCATTCAGTGCCAGAAAGCCAACCTTTGACCATCCGCTCTCACTCTCACGCTCAGCCAAGGACCCCTTTGACGGGGCCCAGCTCGGAAGAAGTGGCGAGAGCGCTGGCGATGCTCATGGAGGCAATAAGGGCACAAAATATGCCTCCACCTCGTGATCGAACTCCTCCGCATACCAGGCATCAGCGGAGGAAGCTAGACCATGATGGGGGGAAGCCTCCCTCTTTACGGGAGCCGGAAGAGTGGGAAAAGGATACTTGGAGAACTGAAAGAGAGAGGAAAAAGAACCCTCAATTTTTCAAAGGATCCTCAACCTCTCGGCCAGAAACGCACAAGAGCAGCAACTCAGCCTCTCGGCCGGAATCTGCCCACCGAGAGCGACCTGAGACTGTTCGCCGAAGCGTACTCGACCGACTCGGCGGCAGGGAGCCGAGCGTGCACA